ACTAAATATAACAACACAATATGAGTTGTGTGATCCGGTTTGACAGGCAACAGGCTGGAGTCTCATTGACTTACAGGAATTAGATGAAGACAATCTTTCCAAGAGATCATTTAACGACCTGATATGAACGCTAACCCCTTTGAGAGAGACCGGCCGGATCAAACCTCCCGTCACATTTTCCTATCCTGCACCACCGACTGCAAAGCCTGTTCACGTAAACATAATTACCTCATCGTAGTACTGCAGGGCCCGCCCTCCTCGGTGACTGTCTGCCAGCTGTGGAGCTGATGGTTGAGGGATGAAATGGAGAAAGAAGATTAGGAAACCTGATATTAAACTTCTTATCGGGTCTTTTAAAGCCTCTTAGGCTCTTTCTCTCTCTCCCTCCCTCTCTCTCCCTCTCACTTTACCTCTTTGCTTTTCTCTCTCATTCTCCTGGACTATTGAATAAATGATGGAATTCAATCTGGCTCCGCAATCACGGCAGTATTTTGTTTCTCTTCCGTTTTTCTTGCTAGGTTACTGCCTCTCATTCTTATCCCAGCCTCTGCATTGAATAAATGATGAAATGTCAATGTGTTTTATGCAGTTGTTTATCCTCCAATTTCTTCTTTTATGTCTCTCTCTTCGTCTTACTTCCTCCTTGTAATTGCTATAAGACTACTGTAGGACTACATCACCGTTAGTGTCCCAAATTTGCTTGAATTGAGCAACATAAACATTACTTGGAGAAAAACTTTGGTCTGTTTACAATAAAGAGCCACTTACAGTCTAGAAATCAGTGTCATATATGTGAGTCATAGAAAGGAGACGTCAAGAAAACCCTTTAATCTATCCAACAAAAATACAGGTACAGTGTAAAAACCCACTACATCCTCATTAAACTGTCTCCAGAAGTTTATGATGCAATAAATCATATAAAAACTACAACTTAAACAGTTAATAGAAAGCTCCAAAAGTTGTCACCCCCTCTGTTGAATAGGGCTGCACCAAAACATAGAACCACTGACAGGCCGAAGGACCCCGAGTCTGAGTCGAAGCCAGCGACTGATTTAGCTCCTGATAGGAGAGACTGGAGGTGGAAGTTGACAGGCCTGGGGGATCTTTTTCTTATCTCTTTATGAGATGAATCATCTTTCACTGAACTCAGCTATTCATTTGGTGAGCCAATTCACATTCTTTCCTCGGCAATCCATTGGATATGTATCAGTCTTTGCCAGCGTCTCCAGGCTAGTAGCTTTCCACTTTCTTTCTTCTTTTTTTTTTTTCCTTCCACTTATTTTCACCAGTTTGCGATTGGTGAGGCGGTTTTGCCTTTAACTAAAGCTACATTTACTTAATCATTTTTCCCGCATGTTGATCTGAAGATGAAAGGACATTGAAATGAAAAATGATAGAATTCGGTATCAAAACGTGTTTTCAGTGTACACATGAGCAGGTTTTGTCTTTCAAATTTCCTCTACAGCATTCACTTCTTTGAATACTTGGGGTATGCACTAAGCATCTGAAACTAGCAAGGGAATGGCAGACTCCACTACTAATCATGTGGTTATCGCAGAAAAATGCTAATATGAAGAGCATGAGATCTTCTGTTTGATATGATGACAATGTTAAAGAATCTAACTTCAGTCCTGGTCTGCGGTTGCTTGACTGACAGCGGTGGCTCCAGGTAATGTTCCACCGAGCATCCATTCCTTTTGATCAAACCTGGCTTTTGTTGTAAGGTCTATTGAATTTGAATACATTATAACGATTCACTCGAGATCCGTGGCTCTTCGTGTTACTTGCCATTTCTAAAGGAATGGGAGTAAGGGGGCCTCCTGGGGCCTGCTAAGTAGAGCTGGTCCGAATAGCTATTTCTGTTCTCCAGATATCCAGCCCAGTTATGCGATTATCCCGAATAGGTGGGGATACCGTGTGGTGGTGGCGGATGAGTATTCGTTCTGGGGGCAGCAAGTGAGCGGGCGTTTCTGTCATCAGCAGTCACCGTACTGTATCCACCATCAGTGGTAGTGGTGGTAGTGGTGATAGTGGTGGTAATGGTGGAGGCAGCGGTGGGGGGGTATTCGGAGATCAAAACTGATATCCCGATTTCAGCACAGCGAAAGAATAGTCGGCTATTCGGGTCCAGCCCTAGTGCTAAGTTACTAGCCAGTTTTTAAATTAGTACAGTCAGCCTATTGTTCTACAAGTTCTTATATTTTTGCACTGAAAGGACTGCACCTTCGTTTCTTGTACTTGTTACAATGACAATAAAACAAATCTGAATCTGAATCTGAATCTATCAGTGGCTAAATCAGTAGCGAGCTTTGACAGCAGGCAAAGTATTTTTGGTACATCACCTGTGCCATACGCCCCTCTATTGAATTTAACATCTGATTCCCAAAGGACTTATCATTAGTTACTGTCAGTTAAGTAGATGTTGCTGAAAGCGTGAGGATGCGGTTAGACTCCAGATCCACTGAATACAAAAAGACAAAACTGACATCAACCAAATTTGCCAAACAAACCAACCCACAAACCACTCGTCAAACGTAGAGTGAGAGAGGTTGCTACTGAAACTGCACAGCTGCCTTCAAGGTGGACTCAGCGATTCTAGCACAGTTTCTGTCAAATTCAGTGAGTATCTCCTTGCAGTCTGCTCACTGTCCATCATAGTAGAAAAAAAGGGGGGTTGCACATCACCCTGACTCTGTAAATGGGAAACAAATCCTATTTTTTGACTCCTCATGCCTTGTGCACATTCATGCTTATGCATAGGATGGAAGGAAAGGAAGAAGGAGGGAAGATGAGGGTAAAGGGGGCACTGAGAGCCAGTAGGATAATAAATCTGTCACATGCTAAACATCTGAACATGCAGTGATGGCCAGTGGGACTGTTGGGTATGTCTCCTGCCAATGTAATGAATCACTACTTATTTCAAATACATGACCACAAACGTACCCATATTTACCAAAAATGTGCCAAAGTGTGACTCCGAAGCCAAGATAAATACCAAAACATGAATTCTGTTTACTGAAATAAAATCAGAACCGTCATATGTTACTCAGTGATACATTACTGTCGCACTGAACGCTTATTAGGTGAGTTTAAACTGTGGTTCAAAAGCATCTAGTTATTGAAGTTATAATAAGGAAATGTCAAGAATACAAACAGAAACACACAATACAGAACAGTGTACTACTAAAGCAGTACATGTGTTTGGATATTATTATCATTAAAGCCTTAATACTTCAACACAAACAGCACAGTATAGTGTTATAGGTTCACGACTTGCAGCTGCTTGGAATGAATCGTATATAAAACCTATGACACAAGTAAATACACTTAGTTACTTTCCACCACATACTGTTTTACAGGTCGAGTCACTCTCACTATAAAACCCTGCAGCTCCGCAATACAGATTACAACAACTGTGTGCAGCTGATAAAGCTGCCTGCACTCACTAGTTACTAGTTTCATTATAAAGGATGGAGCATCCGGATTGTCTGCCGTCACTGAACTCATACAGCACCACTGCATTAGCCGTGGAATACAAAAGAGGGACCGTGCTTGGATCTGATAAAGTGTATCTGGGTGGAAACGCAGCACAGATGCTGCAGCTAAGCCGCTGCTGGCTGTGGATTTTCACAGGATAAACTCTTTCCTTTAGGTAACAAAAAGCACCTCTCGAATCACAAAAAAAAAAAAACACACCATGATTTCCAAAGCATCTGGCTTTATGCTGATAAGTAACGCCGTGTACTTTGAACAGAGAAGTGGCTGCTTCGTTCATTTATTTATTTATTTAAGTCTATTTAAGTATTTTCGCACCCTGTGGATTCTCAGACACGGTTTAGTAGACGATGGCAAGCTGTGTTCTTTTATCTAAAATCTCTTGAGGACCTTTCCAATGTCGCTGTCATCATTACTGCTAATACAATATAAAACCCCACTGTCCTTGTCAATCCATCTGTCTCTTTGTTTCTATCACGCACACTCCATCTCCATTTCTCCCTCCATGTCTCTCTCTCTCTTCTCTTATCTGATGGAGTGAATAATTCATGCCTATTCTTCAAGGAGGCTCTTTGTTCTCCCCCCTGGTGTTTTCTTTTAGAGCACTTGGGATAGTGCATGTGTGCCACATTTCTGTGGCTGAATGAAGTTTCAGATTCCTCTGCTTTCACTGTATTCAAACACACACACACACACACACACACACACACACACACACACTCACACAGCGCACGCTAACAAAGACGACACAGTCATAGGCATGCCATGTTTCTGAAAACAATCTCTTGAACAGGCATCAACATTTTGTTTTGTTCTCCGTGTACAAACATCTCTGTCAGACAAGAGAGAGAAATCAAGTTCTGCATGCCAGTGAATGTGCTCGCCTGTGTGGACGGCGTACAAACATGGGTAAATACCGGAAGTGCAAAAGTATATAAAAGTGTGAATTTCAGTCCTGTGTGTCTGAGTGAGTTTCTGCACATGGGAGGACACTGAAATTTTTGTCAGTATTCACAACCACGCTTGGAAACAATGAGTGTGCATACCTAAAAATGAGAGATGATTATAGTCTGGCACTTCCTAAAGCCCTCCGTCCTGCATACTGATGTATGTCCTCTCACACACTGAATTGTACATGCAAAGCATCAAGTGAAGTGAGAAGGAGAGGCTTACTACTGTACAGTCACTGAATTAATTAATTACTTCAAACGTATTAGTGGATATGTTGGGCGCTGACTTTCAGAATAACTCGTCAGAGGTTGACCAGCGGTTGATGCACTGTCCTACAAAGATGAAATGTGTATTTGGCTGTAAATGAGTTATCATAGAATACCACTGTATTGTGTAACTGAACCCTTGTCCTCCCTACGTTTATTTTTTAATTGGCCTTTTAATTAAACCGGAAAAAATTATGGCAATGACTTATTTAGAGATGTTAAATATTGAATGGGGTTGAATTGACCCCAAAGGTAGGAGGGGAAAGAGAAAATGCACACAACACAGCTAAAGTCAGAGGAATAGGTCAAGGAGAAGCTAGTCTGGAGGACAGACACACTGCTGGATGTTAACTAAAGCTACGTGTAGTTGTAGATATTTCCCCAGTCGTCAATAATTTATTGTTGTTGTTTCACATGATTTAAAAAAGGCAGTTGAGGTAATTATGGTTCAATAAACCGTTGCTGTTAGTCAAATACTAGGACATAAATGTTATCTTTTTAAAAAATCATAGAAGTGACACTATTCATCAGAGCAAAAACGTAAAAACAGAAAAAAAAAAGTCATCAGAGCT